AATATGACTTATTTTTTTATCATAGATATTTTTTAAAATGTTTAGTTACATAATAATTTTAAGGATTTACTTAATAATAATTTAATGCTAATAAAAATATATAAATAAATATGTTAAATTTTATAAAAATTAAGTTTAATTTATTTATCATATAAAGATGTTTTTAATATGTGATATAAATTTTTATAAGGCTTAAATACGTTTTTAATTCTTTAAATTTAGAGTAAATTTATATTTGATCTTTCAAATTTAAAATTCTTTTTAGTTCTTGTAATTTTAAAAAATTTTAATTTAATTCTTATATTCAAATTTTGTTAAAAAATTTATCAAATATTATTGTATAAAATTTATTTATTGATATTTCTATTAGGGAAAATATCACATTAAATTTTATTGATATTGCATAACTGTCTTAATTAGTCACTTTTAAATGTTATTGGTGACTTAAGAGACTAAAATAAGATAAAAAAATAATTTAAATATATATATATATATATATTAGAATATAATTTTTATTTTTTAAAATATATTATTTTTTAGATTAAAAAAACTTTTGTATGTGTAAATGGTTTGCTTCGATTTTTGAACCATACTAGTGTATTATGTTGGTTGGCGTTCTAGAACGGCTCGTTTTGAATCTAGAATGGCTCGTTTTGATCTTAGAATGATCAATTTTGCTGCACGCGTTGGTGTTAAATAATGTATCTGGAACGAGTTGTTCTAGATGCAAATTTTACACACCATGAATGCAACTGGAACGAGCTGTTCTGGTTTCAGAATGTGTTGTTCCGGTTCCAGATACATGACAAAATTTGACGTTCACGTGGCATGAACATAGCTTCCACATGGCATCTACGTGGCCAACAATTAATTCCGTCTAAATAATCTAGACGGAAGTTTAACATTATAATCAATTAATTTATTAGGGATCAAATTGAGACTAAAAATAAAAGTAGGACTAAATTGAAACAAACAATTATTATGAAGGACTAAAATAGATTTTTAGCCTAATTAATAATATTACTAATTAATAATAATAATTATAATTTTAATAACTTAGAATTTTAATAAGTTATAATTTTAATAATGTTGTGAAAGTCATTTTAAATTATTAACATTATTAATTTTTATAATTATAAATTATTTTATATATAAATTTATATAATTAATGTAATTATTTTTCAATTTCGTTCCTGCTAAAATGGTAATGACGTGATATATTAGATTAAATTACCTACAACATTATGAAGAATGTGATTGATGCGCATTTAAGTTCTTGGTTGTCCTTTTTTTTAGTACTCTCAAGATTCTTATTATAAATTGACATGTACATTTTATAAGTTAACTTATTGTGAATTAGTTAGTGGATAATTTGAGATTAACACAAAAGATTTATATTATAAATTGACATGTAGATTTTATAAGTTCACTTATTGTGAATTAGTTAGTGGATAATTTGAGATTAACATATTGTGTTTCTAGTTCCTTGGCTTCCGTCAATAATAATGATGTTTCTTATGTTGTCTGGGTTTTAGAATAACTCATTTAATGCCATTAGAATCATGCCCTCTTGCCTCATCCCTCATGTTTCATAATAACTCATTTGTTCTTGTTGTTTAGATTTGTTGTTTGCCTTCGTTTGGGTTGGGTTGTTTGTTTGCAATTTCTTCTTGAATCTAAAATGTAACCTTATCCCGAAAAAAATTGCAATCTGTGTATTCTAATACTTGATTAGTACTCTATGCTATAGATTGTAATGTAATGAATTCTGAAGTAGATCCTAGGTTGTGTTTCTAGTCCCTTGGCTTCTGTCAATAATAATAGCATTATAAATTAGGCGTGTAGATGTTGGTATGATGTTTCTTATGCTATTTTAAATGTTTATCCGTGCGGGAATGGGTTTCAGAATAACCCATTTAGTGTTGTCAAAATCATGCATGTGTAAAGTTAGTAACTTTAGGGGAACAGTGGCAAAGTATTGTTACTATTGAATAGAAAATCAGTAACTTTAGTGAGAATTAGTGATGGGTGGCTTATTAATTAGGAGTGCAACTAGTAATTTTGATTAGTGATTTCTTAAGTTGCATTTGCTGCTTGTGATGACAATGTGTTGAACGAGAACCAACGCCATGGATCAAAGTTTTGATTCCTCAAGTTTTACTCTTACCTCAAGTTCCACTCTTACTCATTGTGCAAATTTGGGTTGGAAACTTGATTTAATTGCTCATTTTGATCTTTGACAATTGTTGCAAGTTGTCTAATTTTCAATTTTTCCTTTAGGTACGAGAGATAGTAACATTAGCAATTTTTTTGATTCTCACACGGTATATCAATTTTAATCTAGATTTCAAGTTTATGTAATTTTCTTCTTTGCAGTAGCATAATGTATTTGGATGAAAATTAGGTGTTTAAACAACTCTTTTTTGCTAGATCTAGTCAACGGCCACTTGATCAATACTCAAGTTGGATTCAAGTTGGAGTGACGTCAGCTTATGGCATAAAATCTCAAGAAAGATTTTTGAATCCAATTCATATGTCTATAAGATGTCATTGTCTAACTTACTTTCAATTGTACAGCGATATCAATACTATTTTATATTTTATACGGTAGATCTTTCATTGAGGAAAATGCAGAATAATTTTTTCAGGAACATGATTCAGAATGTCTTTGGGAGACCAAAAAGGTATTTTAACATTTCAAGACATTGAAAAAGTGCAAAATGTTACCTTTTTATCCTGATTGAAAAATATTGATGATCCGATCCAACTTTCCCCAAATTCAACATCATCAATATTTTTTGAACAAGATAAAACGGTAACATTTTGCATATTTTCAATGTCTCGAAATGTTAAAGTACCTTTTTGGTCGGATAATGGCTCAAAGACAAGTTGAATTATGTTCTTGAGAGGATTATTCTGCATCTTACTCAATGAAGGATCTATCGTATAAATAGTATGATATTGTTGTACGATTGAAAGTAAGTCAGATAATGACATTTTACAAACATATGAATTGGATTCAAAATTTTTTTTTGAGATTTCATGCCATAAGTTTATGTCGTTCCAGTGTTGACTAGATCTAACAAAAAAGAGCTGTTTAAACAAAGGAAGCATATTGGCGGAAACGTGTAAAAAGAGTTGTTACAGGCCACTTTGCATGCGGTAAGAACAAAACGGCGTCGTTTGGAAAATAAAAGTTGAACTTGTTTCTTTGCAGCGTGTGTGTGGACAAGAAACCCTTAGCGCATGCTCTCTTTGCATTTGCACTGGAATCCTTAGTATAGCTCTTCATCTTCTTGCTTTGCTTTGTCTGTGTTTCAGTCTTCTCAATGTAGTTGTTTCAAGATCAGTGTTACCTTTGATGAATTAGTGGGTAGTTGCACAATTTGTTGTCCATGTTGGATTTACCCTTATGACGGTATATCATGCCAACGCACAGCCCACCCAAGCATAGATGGTGTTAAATTGTGGGTTGGCGATTATTTTCAGTTTGTAATATATTTGAGTTTTCTTGTTGGCTCATTTTTCACTTTCCTTGTGGAGGGAAGGAGGCAGAACGGGTGTTTGTCCATTGGTTAGCACATATTTTTGTCTTCCATTTGAATCAAGCATCGTATATAAAAAAAATGAAATACATAATGTCTTTTTTGTTTTAAGGTATTAATTAGGTATGTTATGACTCTCTGATTGCCTTTTCTTCCATGGTTAGAGAATTAGGGCTTCAAAATGATTCATTTTTAATGCATCTGTGTGATATAGTATAATAATTTATTTATTTTAATATAATGTTATATAATAAAATTTAGATATTTGACATTATTACTTTTTTATTTTTTATTATTTATTTAAAAAAGATTGACTTCCTTAATTCACAAAAAGTGCATAAATAGATTAATGTTATTGATGTTATCACATCTATTCTGGTATGTAAGTCAATTATAAGTTTAAATTAATGAATTTAAATATTTATAATATAAATTAAATTTATTATTTATTACACTTAATTGTTTTTTGTTGACAGAGATTGTCAATTGGGTTTTGTGAAAATGCTATTTCCAAAATTGTAAAATATATTGATTTAGTTGATTCAAATGACAACATATTTGAATGTAAAATAACTTGAAAAATTGAATCAAGTCTGCACTGAAATTTGACTATTTGCATAATCAACAATATAAGGGAGGATTTACTATTATATTTGGAGTAATGCAAGATAAGGATAATTATATTTACTCAGATTTAGTTTAATTTTGCAATACTTATCTTTATGTAATGTTTATTTTTTTTTTCTTTTCAATATATATGTTAAATACATTTAATAAAGCAGACAAAATTGGCATAGCATCTTAGTAATTTGGCATAGCATAGAACTAACTTAATATATTCAACATTAATATAAATCTAAGCTTAATGTCACCGTCTGTTTATTAATCATTGAATTTACACAATATTAAAATTTACATTAACAACAAATTAAAAAGTCTTTTGTTTTAAATGTGACCTCCAATTTTGATGGAAGTTCTTGGAGAAGATTGTTGTTCTTCCAAGTTCCCATGTAAAGGATTAAAGAAACTCTTGAGGTAAACCTTCAAAAACACTTGAATCTCCACGAAGTGATCTTCAATGGAGTGGAAGCCTTGAAGAGATTCGGTTACTCCTTAGCTTGTTGTAGAAGCTTGAGGAACCAAGACAAAGTTTGAACAACTTTGATAGAAACCTTAGACAGAAAATTCTCTACGGTTTTTAGGGATTCTTGAGTGAGAGAAATCTGAAGTTTTATTTCTCAAAATGTTCAAAAGTGAATACAAGTGAAGAGAAAATAAATATATAGGGAGAGGTAGCATGTAGTGTAAGCTAGCCTTAACCATGGTTCATTAGGAACCATGGTAAGGTGTAGCTAACCATCCATGGTTTCTAAAACTTGTAGGAGAAGTTAACATTGACTATGTTTCGCTTAAGAGCCATGGTAAGGTCAGCCTAACCTACCAAGATTTAGAAACTTGGAAGGCAAGCTTCAAAGCTTGAAGGAAAAGCTAGCAAATTAAAGCTAGCAAATTTCGGCTAAGAACAAAGGTGAAGGCTAGGCGGCCAAGGCTCCAAAATGCTCTATGATTTATTTCAAAAATATTTGATTTGGTTTAGTTAGGTTCATCATATGATGATGAGACCTAGCTAAATCAAATCTATGAAAAATTAGGAGCAAAATGAGTCTAATATGCAAAATTTTGCCTAGACCCAGTTCTGGTCCAATTACTAGTCACACCCTCAAGCATTGCTAAATGTCACCTCTTTTTCTCTACTGAAAAAATAGAAAATGAATGTATCAACAAGGGAGGTTAAATGGAGTTAAACTCTCCAAGTAACCCACCCTAAAATCAATATACAATCACTAATTAAAAGTAAGTAAAGTGCCTCACAAATACAAAGGCAAAATTAGACCTATACAAAGGAACTATGTACAAACATATGAAAAGGTCTTTAAGATCATCTCATTCCTCTTGGTTCTTTTAAGATATCACCTTTTGGATTCATTGGCCTTGGCCATAGTATATCATTCCCTTCCTCTTGAAAAAGATTTGACCTCAAATCTCGAGGGTCTTCATGATTATTGGATACACCTACAAATATATAATACAATTTATTAGAGGTGATATTCTGAACAAATAAATGTGAAAGGTGTATCCTAAAAGGAATCCTTTCATGGAACCTAAAGAAATTAATGATACTGGAAGGTTACAGCCTTAAATGCGCCAAGCGCGTATCTGCCAAGTCTGGCGCATTGAATGCTTGCACGTTTGTAACCCTAATTACGCCCGGCGCGACATGACAGTGCCTGGCACCATACCAGATAAGGGCAACCCTTGGGATTCTACTGATACCGCACCTGGCTCGACTAATTGTGCGCCCGGCGCGACCCTTCAGATGCCCCTTTAACCTCTCACCCCCACTCTCCCACTCTTCACTCACTCAACCTTTCAACCTCTATTCTCTCAACTTCTCAATCTCCCAACCCTCTCAACTCCCTCCCCTCTTCTTTGCAATCTCCCATTCTCACGCTCACTCCCCCAACCTTCACTCTTTTCTCTTAAACGCCCATCTCTCTCAAACTCTCACACTCTCTCACGCTTGCCTCCTCTCATCTTCACCAACCTCTCAACTTCCCCTCTACAATCTACCTACTACGTATGGGATGACCCTCACCTATTCAAGATTGGTGCAGACGGCCTACTGAGGAGGTGTGTCTCAAGAGAGGAGGCCAAGAGTATTTTGTGGCACTGTCACAACTTTCCTTATGGAGGGCACTTCAACGGAGAAAGAACAGTTGCCAAGGTGCTTCAAGCTAGATTCTACTGGCCGACACTCTTCAAAGATGCCCACAGTCATGCCAAGCAGTGCGACAGTTGTCAATTACAGCATTAAAATGCCATTAACTTTTAATTAATTAAGAAAATCGTGAAATTACATCATGTGGGTGCATTTGTTAATTTTAAAGTCTTTGGTTTAAATTAGGTACATTTAAATTAATTTACAAAATAAATATTATGGATGTGTTTGATAAATATTTGTATAATAAAATTTTGTAAAAAAAGTATAATATTTATTGTTTAGAATAAATGGATCTACAATGTTTTGAGTAAATAATGTATCATCATAAAAAGTAAGGGTACGTGGCTACATAAAATATTCAAAACCCATGGTCCTACTAAATATACTGCAATGATGTTGATATTGTTATCTCTTGCAGGCTTTTAAGTGGTATGTGTCCATGTTGATAATAATGACAATTAAAGTAAATTGCTTGACCTAAATATAAACCCTAATCTTATAAAGTATACTAAGGTGGACACTAACTTCTATTTATACTCCATAAAGCCGAAACTAAACGAAGGTGGCATAAAATTATTCTTGAATAAATTGGAGATTTGCAAAAAAAAAATTGAAAACATTAAAGTTTATAAATGTAGGAGGTTGTTAGTTAAAAATATTTTAGATTATAATAGTCTATCATTAATTTAGGAGAATGTGGTGTTTTTTGGCCACCAATATTCAATATTTTTTGTCAAACATTGCACAAAAACTCATACATTCATCAAGTATAACCAAAGAAGAAAGTTCATCCCTTGAGAAATCAACATCATTGGGTAAAGGAAGATCCTCACATTGATCGTTACTGAATTTGTATGCTAAAATCACATGTGAGTAACTAATATACAAAAACACAACCCAATGCAAACCCTAATGAAAATACAAACCCAAAGACTTGTTCTTAACACTAAAATGAGTATCAGTATATAACCAATACATATTGTTATGAATGGTGGACCACTTATCATTTGTGAATGAGTAACTCTCAACTATGGCAATCCGATCAAATTTGTTTTCATATTGTAAGACCTATACCTTTCTTGTTATTCTTCTCACTCATCTCCTTCTCTATTTCCCTTTCAACTCACTTTTTTTCAGTTGAGGAACCTTAAATTCAAGGATTCACATAGATGCTGGATAGTAGAGAAAGTAGTAAGCCTTGAAGCTCGGAGTTGGCTCGCATCACCATTTCTCTTCTTCTTTTTTTTCTTCCCCGTGAGCTCGGAACCGGAATTCTTCTCCCTCCAAGGTAAGGGAAGCTAGGATCTTGGACGGTTGTTTGAATTGAAGTTTGATATTAGTTGGGTTTCTGAAAATTTGAGTGTTTGGAGGTGAGTTTAAGGTTAGTTGCATGTTGAAAGTTGAGATTTTGATTGTCTTGACAGAAGATGTAACATTGATGATTTTTCTTTGAATTTGGTTGCTTGCATGTGGAATTTCTGGTGTTTTATGAGTTCTATGAACAAAATGAGTAGAGATTATGAAGGTAGATCATGTTTTGGGATAAACATTGATGGATTATAGCTAGAAAATGAAAAGGGAAGCCGTGGAAGTGTAGAACCTCTGCACTTGGCGCTAAAGCGCTAAAGGGAGCGCTGAACTGGATGAGAAATTAAGGTGATCAAGATCTGGAGCTATAGCTCTGAGTTGGGCGCTACAGCCCTGGGAGAATGTGAAGTTGGTAGAGGGTTTGAGTTGCAGCCCCAAGTTGGGCGCTACAGCCCCAGGAAGCCCAGGAGAAAACGAAGCTGGCAGAGAGTTTAAGCTAGAGCGCTGAATTGAGAGCTGTAGCGTTGGGGCTATATGACCGAATTTGGTCTTAAGATCTTCATGAAAGTTGTATCCTTGGATGTTAGCTTTCCAATGGCACCAAAATCACCCAAAAATGAGGTCTAGAACTATAGATATGGTTATTTTAGTGAACAGGGGTCAAGTTGTCAGCATTAGTTATAGCTGTTGCGATTTTTATAATTTTTAACAAGGTAGATGATAGAATTAGGACTTGATGTCTTCATGAGAGTTGTAGTAAATCTTCTTATCTTTCATTTGAGATAAGGATGAGAATGATAAGATTAGTATAACTTAATTTATTCTATTTTATGTGAAGGTTGCCATTTAACACTAAGTAATTTGGTTAAGTTAAAAGTTATTTTGGGTGCTTAGGTTGATGTATGTTGTTTATATGTGTAAGTTGGCTTGATAAATGAGTTTTAAATATGTAGTATGAGTTGTATTATGTGATGAAAGTGTTGTGTATTGAGATAAATGATAAAATGTTGATAAGTGTGTTGTGAAGTTGTGTAGTTATATTGGGATATTATATGAACAATGTTGATATGTCATTGAGATGTATGTTTAGCATAGTTTAGTAAACTAGTTGTGTAGTTGAGTAAATGAGTAGAGATGATATGAGTTTAAAAGTTGTGTGTTGACTAAGTTGTTGTTGAGCTGAACTGAGTTGTGTGTTAATTGTGTTGTGATGATGAGTTGTTGATTACTAGGACTAGAGGAGATGTTTTTGAAGTTGTTCATCCCATTGTGTGGATTAAGATAGTTGTGATGCTCTAAGATCCCAATTTGTTGAAAATCCCTCATTAGAAAGTTGTCCCTTGGAGTGGATGATGTGTTGTTCTCCTCTAAGACTTAGTTGATCTCGTGTGTGGGCAAGGTTGAGACACACATGTATGAAGTGACCACGGTATAGGGGTCAGGTCAAGCTATACCGATTACAAGCGGCCAATTCGAGTAAAGTACGAAGTCGAGAACTTAGTTCCTAAATGAGTATCGGAAGGTTGTAATATTTGGAGGATAGTTAGTAGGCTAATCCCACATGTGAATTAGTTGAGCTAGCTAATGCCGTGGTAGGCCTAAACCCAACTGTCCTATCCTGACATGGTACTATACTTCCTTGTTTAAGTGGCAAAGTCTGAGAAACTATTATTGTGTTGTGGATTTTATCCAAATTTTTTGTTTACCAGCAAGCCCAAAAAGGTTCTATGTTGTCGGTTTGGTAGGACCTAGCCACTTAGACTACTCATCCTATGTTGTAGGAGATCTCCGAGTTGAAATACTTGACGACGCATATATGTTGATGAGTTATATGTGTTTATACGTTGTGAAGTTGTTATAAAGTTGTGTGTTGTCTATTTGTTGTGTGTTGCATAATGAGTAAGTTGTTATTGTTGATAGTGATGTTGTGTTGCATGTTGCTTTTATATTCATATGTTGTTTAAGTATTATGTGTTGTATATTATACATTATATCAATGCATTTTTATTATTTTAAAAAAATTTAAAATTATTTTAAAAGCACATTCATATTATAAATTGAGAAATAATAATCTATATATTTTATGTATTTATCAAATAATTGCTTAAAATTATCACTAATTATATTAATTATTTAAAATTAATAATGATTATATTATATTGTTATTTAATTCAAGTAACTTTTAAATAATAATTTTACTTATTGAATTCTAAGACCACTTATTTCGTAAATTCTACCTATAATTATACTATTATATAATGCCTAATTCTTTGTGATTAGCAACAACCAGGGTGCTGAAGAACTAGGCTCTGAAAAACCAGCTAGTATACAAATGCATACAAGCATTAGCAGAATCAAGGTAATCTCTCCAATAATAAATGTATACTATCCGGCTGACAAATGACTTTCATGACTTTTGTGTAGATAGGCTTGACATGTTAAAAAATGATTTAATTCTGTTAATGTTGAACTTCATGACATTTAATCTATAAATTGGTCTTTGCTTGATGACATCAACTGGAGCTCATTTATAAAGAAGCCTGTAAGTTGTTCAAAAAATCAAAACAAAAGCAAGTTTACTATCAAGCCTCACCTTCCATGCATTTTCAAGACTTTGGTCCACGTTCTCTGCATCAACTTTAAGAGCTAGTGAACTTAGTAACTCTGCTTGTTGCATCAATGCGTTTATCTTTGGGTCATCCTTTTTAAGGAATGTTCCTTGAATCTTGTCATTTTGGACTGCAAAATCATGATAATCCAAGAGTTGCATTAGAATGATAGGTGACCAATGTTATTTCAGGCTTAATATATAAGAGGTGTTTTGGCTTATTTTCTATTTTCATTTTCAGGTGAAATGTTTTCACTTATAATTTAAAGCTATCACCTCGTTTTCATTTAGTTTCCTCTTTTCCTTATGTTGATTTTAGTTTCACCATTTCCTTCACAAAATCTTGAAAACAGGAAACAAAAAAATGTGATATTTATTATTTTTATAATTACTAGTGAAAAGATATTAACTGAAAATTTAAATTAACATAGTAAACAAATCAAAATATATATATAAAAGTACTATCTCTTTTTAAGAACTCAATGATCTCCTTATCTAAAGCTAAATAATAATTTCTTTAAATATTAAGATTTTTTTTTAAGGAATTAACTTCTGTAAAGTGTAAACATTTTTTTTCCTTCTATAGGGATAAGCTTAGATATTGAAATAATCAACTACGACACATTATCTTTCAACTGTGGCACACTATATTAATTATAAAAAATTATTTTGTTATTTTATTTTTAATGTATTTAACATAATTTTTAAAAGTATAAATTCTTTAAATAATATTGTAGTTTAAAAGCACATAATATAACTTAAGTACAAATTCTTAAATACGTCTATTGTTTTCCAAGTTTTATTATAATAGAACAAAAAATATATATTAAGAAAGTTTATATTAAATACAAATGTAGAACACATATAAAATTCCAACACTAATTGAAACGTAAGAAACTATCTTTTAAGTTCTCTCCTTGAAAGAATTATTAAAGGAATCTTATACTGTTACACAAACTATCGTGTAGGAGGTCCTCGCATGGAGAGAAAAAGAATAGACAGGTGCTGATTACAAGAAACAACGTGTATGGAAGACAGTGAACAGATTATAAATCATATTCTTATGGCAGCAAGTTTTTGTTGTCCTTAAACCACAAAGAATATTACACTTTGCAACTCCTAATTAACAATTCAATTTTCATTCCCTTATTTTTTGTCCATACATAACAACAGGGACTCAACCTACTTGAAAGGATAATTTAAATATTTGCTACACTACAAACAAAATATGTTATTAAATAATTGTTATGAGATGATATTATCCTTTGTTGGCTACATGGACAGGATCTCAATAAATCCACGAGTTTATGGAAAATGAGAATCCAACTAAGTTTACATCTAATAAGATTATTTATACCTCCCAACTTTTCCCACAATGCAGCCAAGAGATTTAGTAGAAAACGATGGGTATAATATGAACTGTTATATCCTTCAAACAGTCTTTTGGATTAAAATGCTAGTACATATGTTAACAGTCTAACAGCATAGCTGAAGCATCCTTCTTTAAGGGTATAATTATTGACATCAGACTCTAGTTCAATATGTTCTGCATTTTAATTTTTTACTTTAATTGCAACTTTTCTTCTGTTTTCATGTTTCTTCTTGGATTGCAACCACCTAGATAAACTTTGAAACATAAAACAAACTGGGAGAGATTAGAGAAAGTGCAGTTAATGAATTTAAAGATAGAAAAATGTATCCTTCAAACCAAGAAAATAACATGAAGAAAAACGCATTCTTAAATAATAAAATCATTTCAGTTTGAATTTAGGACAATGACAACACCCAAACAACATACCAAATTGAAGACCAGAGAATAAAACACAAAAGTTTGACACCATTAATTGTGGTGGACAAAGCCAATTTGCATACCAACTTTCTCATTCCGCAAATGAGTTTCCTAAATATAATATTATATTAGTTTGTAAAGCCTGTATAAAGGCCATGTTGTATTGTTTTATTATCATGTTAGGAAATGAAATATATTTCAATTTTTCCTCCTCTGTTCCTTTCGTTGTGCGTGAATTATTTTAAAGTTATTATGTCCCACTGATATAATTACTAAACATAAAACTTAACCTTTATATGACCTTAGTATTGAACTCATCCTAAGTTCTTTCAATATGACAAGGAGGTATAACTTGATCACTTTCACCAAATCGGACTCTATATAAAGATAAATAGATATTTTTAATCTCGACTCCATGTTCAAAATAAGTATGAACACTCATCCTTTATTAAATAACACAATTATTGAATCACTTAAACTAATAATTTTTATAATTTTTTTGAGTTTAACCTTTCTATCATAGTGTTGAAATTAATGATATTAGACATATATCCAAAGAAAAAATTTGAACCAATAAAATGGCAATGAAAGTGAAGTACAGTTTATTCTTATCAAGCTAAACTTTGAAAATAAATTTCATTTCATCGAGGTTGTATAATACTTTGAAAATAAATTGCATTTCATCGAGGTTGTATAATATAGTATTATCTAAAAGTGATAAATCTCAAATAAACGTAGAGATGCTCTCCAGGAAGAAGCAGTTTATTGAACAATAAAGAAACATAAAGATTGCTTAGTTTAAAGGAAGCAGCTCAAACAAACGTTGAGTTGCTGAATTTAAGGAAGCATTTTATATGTTTGTTAAACTTCATGCTTCAAAGACTCTTCTTACATTTAAATGTAATTTAAATACTATTGATAATTTAAAAAATTAACTATCCACCGCCTGATCCAACTGCTCAATTTTTTTCTTTATAGTTGATTAAAAAATATTTTTCCTTGGTGATGGGTACATATATATTAACTAAAAGGGTACTAGTTCCTATAATTAAACGCAATAAACTAAACAATATATTATTGTAATTGTACTAGTATAGGGGCCTTTTGGCCATAATAAATAAAAAAATTTAAAAATTATTAATAAATTAATTAAAAAACATTTTACCAAAATAAATTATGTTGGATACGCGGTAGATTGGAAAACGTCACACTATATGACGCGTTGAATACATAAACACAAACAACGTGAAAGCATCAAATATTTGACATTTTGCGTATAAATTTTTAAAACGAAAAACGTTATGATATTTGATGTTTTCTTTATGATTATAGAATCAAGAACCGCTCCTAACCTTTGCAGTACACACTGAATCCCTAACCCTAACCGTGAATAGCATGTGCCTTCAAATAAAAGAGATCGCACCAAAATGCTCTCGTGATAAATTATAATTAATTAAATTAAATTTCCTATCATAAATGCTTTCTAACCTTACTTTCAGCTTTGCCACCCGAGTTCGACGCAGCAAAACTCCCCTGCAAATCTGTCACATCAAACACACAATTCACTTCAGTTTCGCCTCTTGCTCTTGCATTCTGTTTTCTCTTCTTTTTTAAATTTTCATTTTCCCCAAATTTTTCCCCAAAGTACCCCTGCCTCGCACAAATTGCCGGACTTCGTTTTAAATTTCTTTTTTTAAGTTTAATGTTAATAAAAAAATTATTAAACTTTCTGGCGGTTTAAAATCGCCAGAAATTGCCAACACTCAGAAATTGTCAATAATTTGTAGCATTACCATCCTTGCGACAAAAGTAACACTTTTTGGCGGTTTATGGAAACCGCAAAAAAAAACCGTCAGTAATTACCTATTTTTTTGTAGTGATAAATAATTGTTGATTCTTTTATTTTAAAACTATTCATAAGTAGCTGTTTGTAAAAATAATATATCTTTTTTTTAATAAAATGCACAGGTCTAAATTATATATATATAAATGAGATATGACAATAAAATTTTGTTATCTTTATTATTATTTTTTTATGTATTACATTTATCAAAAGGTAAAATAAAATTTTAGTCTCTATAAAAAAAAATTGATTTTACTCATTAAAAAAATTATCTTATTTTCATCCTTTTAATTTGAAAATGCATTAGATTCGGTGTTTGAAGTTTTTTATACAATACCTTATAATCAACAATAATATATAAGTAAAATGAATGAAAAACATAATGCATCTTCTTTAAGTTTATTAATTATTTAATAAAATAAAATATATCATTTTTAATTAAAAATTTAATACATTATTTAGATTATGAACTTTTTTTTTGTAATTTTTAATTAAGTTTCTAAACTAAAAATATTTATAATTGAATCTTTCATCTTTTTATATTTATTAATTTAGTTCTCAAGGTTAAAAATTTGCTTACAAATTATGAAATATGATCTAGTTTTTTTTATCCTCATACATACACATAACCACATCATATTACTAACTATTTTACATATCCTTGTCCATGTATAGAAAATTTTAATTAAAGAGTAAAAATTATCAAAATCTTTAAATCGTAAAAATTATAGAATAGTATAAAATTTTAATAAATAAAGATGAAAACATAATACACATGAATGATTACATAACATATTAATCTAATATGGTTGTTTAGGTATAAATTATAAAAAAATATTTTGTTAGATTTCATGGATAATAAAGAAATCTCTAACAACAAGAACTAAATTACAAAAAAAAAAAAAAAAACTAAATTTACTACTTTTTTTTACCCTAGAGATTTAATTAAATTTTTTTGAAGTAAATGATATATTAAACTTTAATTAAATTATTATTTAAATTTTTTTCATAAGTTTTTATATTTAAAAATATTTATACATAAAAAATCTTATTTATGATTTTTGTTGTATTGCATGATTTGAATGCAGCAAAGGCTTCAAAATTCGCCATGGATAGATACTATGGAGCATGTGGATCGGTAGGAACAAAAAACTATGGGAACATGTTGATTGGAACCATGTAGAGATCATCACTAGAGTTAGAGCAGTGCTAAAGGACAGGACCAAAACCTGTCTCAAAGTGAAAGTTCCTTGTCGGTTTGATAAATCTCATAGGCAACATTATTGACAACGACAACCTCCTATTTCTAATGGTCTCAAGTGTAATGTTGATGTTGCACTGTTCAGTGTTCACGATGCATGGTGCATGGTTCCTTCAGTGTTGGCATATGCTTACGCGACCATATGGGCTCCTTCATTAAACTCAGAACTGATCGTTTCTATATATACTTTCTGAGGCTCATGAGTGTGAAGCTTTAGAGCTTCTGGAAGCGTTAAAATGGCTGGAAGAATAACACCTTAATAATATGTTACATTTGAGTTAGATTGTATTTGTGTTTTTCATAATATAACTAGTCACTATTATGATTTATCTGAATTAATCTGGTGCTATTATCATTTGGTGTTATTATCAAAATAAATGTAAAACCCTTTTAGCTAGATTAGAAAATTGTATGGTTTATTTTGCTGATAGACAATCAAATTTAATAGTTCATAAGGTTGCAAGGACGACCGAATTTCAAGTTCGTCTTGTAAACTATATACATATTCCTTCTTGTATTGTTCAACAAATTATCAATGAATTTTA